AGCTGCCGAGAGAAGATGATTCTTTTCCTCAAGAAATGATTTCTATTCTTGTTTTTCAGTCAGTATTCTCGTCCAAATCTAGGATCAGAAAAGAGGTGTAATCATATTCGAATAATTCAAATGTTTTGGTGGAATTTAGAGACGTTACAGTGTTTCCGTTTATATTAGTGTAACTGTAGGATTTACGAGAGGCGTTGAAGAATAGTCGGGAGAGTGTCTCATCCTCACCACCACCACCACAGCAGTTAGCAGCCAGCCGTGCAAAAACTACCGAGGTTAGTGGTCACAACTCACGCAATAAATTTCATTGCACATCGATATTTTTGTTCCAAAGACATTACATTTAAATCTCCCCAACTAAGATGACAACGGCAAAACGTGAGTGATTTTTGTGATGAATTTTCGAGGGTTTGTTTTTTTGCCGTATTCAGTTAATGTGATTAACAATTTTAGCCTCCACCTGACAAGAAAGCTAGCGTTGTGGTTGCGAGGGATCCAGCTGAAGCGTTGATCGACGATCTAGACAAACAAGCCGAGGCTTTAATTAACAAAGCGAGCGGTGCTGAGAAATTGGTGTGAATCGTTTTCGTTCTCTCTTCATCTTTAGAATCTTGTGGATTTTAAAGTGAAGATATTCCCGTGGAATCTCTCAAAATCTTCATGTTTAACTGTAGCGAAAATTGAAGAAAAAAGTAGAAAGTGGAGTGTTAGCAGTGTTTCCGAGTGTTTCCCTCAGTGAAAAAGGAATACAGTAATGTCAAATGGCGTTCAAAAAAGCTTTTCATGGAAAACTGTCAATTGCCTTATTTAGAGGGAGACGCAGCTGATGTCGTTCTATCGGAAGAGGTTATTGGATACAATCAGGGAACTCAATGCTAAAAGTGAAGCGCTTACAAAAGCGAATGCAGACGTTGAGAAGTATCGGTCGCGCTACAAAAAAATTTGTGAATTACTTCGAGATGCTGAAGGTATGTGAATGTGTTCGTTTCATTTGAATGAGTTAATAAGTAAATTGAGTTCGACAACAGATTTGAAATGGTGAGATTTTGATTCGGAGTTTGCAGTTATTCGAAAGTTATTGTTATAACGCTGATGAGGCAATATGTGGTTTTTGTTTGCGATTATCGTTGGAAAAAATTGATAATTTGATGTGATTTAAGTGAATGAAAAGGCGCATATGGCTGCTGAATTGGACAAAGCACGTAGAGTTGAGACTGAACTGAGCACACAGATAGGAACACTTCAAGGGGAGTTAATGCAAGCAAAGAGTAAAATACACGAACTCGAAGTGAAAGTGAGAGAACTTCAAGATGTTAAACATTAACTGAAGTTAGTTTCCATTGCATTCCGAAAATTTATCGCAAATTTTTATCCATCTTTACGAATATTTCATTTTTTGTGAAGAAGTATTATTTTCAGAAGAAGCGAAAATGTCTCCAAACAGTCTACTTCTTATACAATTTTAAGCATCTACAATTTTTTTCCAATCTCTTCAATCGTTTCAATTCTCACACTTACCATTAGATAATGTTTTTAATTGCAAAATTTTGTGAATATCAGTCGGTGATCTTTTCAGGATGATAATCAGTAAGTGTTCTACAACAGATCAATATGGACCTCAGCTGGAAGTGTGTTATTCTGTCGTCGAGTTAATTAATATTACTGTTATTGCATGTTGTTATTGTGATCAAGAGAATCGTTATCATTATTACCAAAATATGTTCTTCGATTATGATTTATTCCATTAATCATTATTGTGTTGCGGCAATCTTCCCTTTCTTTTAAAACGGGCAAAATTTTATTGTTGTTATGTTTCATGTTCGTCATCTTTCACGAATTATCAAATGCCAATAATGCTATTATTATTTCTTTTTTTTCATTGATTTATTTTCATTCTATTCAAATTTTATGATTGTCGCTATTTCGAAAAGATTTCTTCTTTTCATCTTGAATTGAGAGTAATTAATAATTCTCATCAAGTTTACTCGTGCCGGGTTCAGTTGATATGCATTTCTGTGGCCCTTTTGCCGTTCTTTCTTCGTGTTGGCTGATTTAACTTCTGATACAGTTGTATATGACTGTATCAGAAAATAATAATTCCAGCTAATATTACCCACAAGGATCTTGTGGGTAATATCAGTTGGAATTTTTAATTTTTCAGAAAGGGAATTTTCCTGTTCTTTTGTAGTGTTCCATCAAATTGATTAGGTTGCCTTAGGGATGATCGATTGAAACGGGGTATTTCCATTTCGAGGGTGTAGTGACGCTCAAAGTTTTTAAATATTAAAAGAGTGTGTGATTTGTTACGTTGATTGGTGCTTGCCTTGAAAACATGGTCTCGTCAAACAGTTTTCTTATCTCCATTCATGGTGGTTATCTGCATTCAGCCGGTTTGAGGTGGTGAGGAAATTTGAAAATGAAATTGTTTTCTGAAACCTTCGAATAGAAATGGTTTTCGAATGACGTTCTGGATTAAAAACACGTCAAAAAAATTTCATTTTATGCTTTCATTTATGTTTGTTATTCCTAACAAAATTCTA